CGATTTCTAGACTTTTAAAGTTGCAAAATTTCCCATCGGAGAATTCAGAAGACTAGACTTTTGTGCGAATTTATCTTGCCTTGTTTGATTTCCGAGGAAATTAGTGCGAGGACTTGTAGTCAATCTTTCGGCACAAATATTTTCAGACTCAGTCCGGAAGTTGATTTAAATATTTTCAGTTAGATTCCATTAACCGCTGCGGAATAACCGGATAAAATTCACGAGCTGCAAACAAGTATGGGACCAAACTTACATTGTTGGCTGTTGCCTAGCTAGAAAAGGCCGTGAGTTTTTAGAGTCCATCAACTTCGATTAATCGTGCATTAACCGGCGCGTTGAATTAGATGCTATGTACACCAATCTGAAGGAAGCATGAAAAAGGCGGCAACCAATCCGGACTAGGGGCCAACCAACAGACTCCGCTATTGACTAGACATTATAGATTTGTCCGTTATGTTTGAAATTCTTACGGTCCTGTTCACTCTCTACGCGTTTGACGACGACCTGGAGTGCCATTGTCGAAAATTTACAATAAAGTTTATTTTTGTTTTCCAAGGGACTTCTCGTGCCGAACACTGGTTATTTTTGACTACACTGATAGCAGAAAAACAAGGATTTGTAAAAGCACCCTCAAATAGCAAAACTCACTCCTCCAGATGTCTGTTTTTGAGTTCCTGCTGCTTCTCAAGAAAAGCCAGTTGGTCAAAGAGCCGTTCAATCGCCTGCTTTGGGGGCTTTCCGGTCACAGTGGCCAAGTGCAGGCCCCGAAGAGTGTCCAGCTGCATTTGCAGCCGGTCAGCCCGTTGGCGAGTGATGTTGAGCTCGGACCTGAGACGGGCTGTGGACTGTCCAACCTCTGCTAACAGATCTCCTTCAGTTGGAAGCTCACCCTCTGCTGGGATGTTGTCCTTCACCACAGTGATCTCGCTTCCATTCTGGCTGAGATCCCCAGTCTCGCAACAGGTTTTCAGGGTGTTCTTCAGTGTTTTCAGTTTCTCCTTCGTTAGGGATGATTTCAGATGCTTTATGAGGGAGTTACGACTGTCTTCTCGGGCCTGCACATTCCAAAAAGTAAAAGCAATTTGTAGTAACATTTAAAATCTGCTGCCACCCTAATCATAAATGTCACAAACCTCATCGTGATAACTGCTCCTGAATTCTGTTTGCATTATACATTGCGGGCTGAAACTCATCCAAAATGCCGAAATTTGCGAAAGATTGATAACCAATCGCAAACTGGCATTAACGCATGCACGAAAACTTTGAAATGATAGTGAACAACCTTACGCGAATTAAGAACGTAGCATAAATAAAATGAAAAATACTTGTTTTTGAGAAACATCACATTTTTAAAGAAGCCTCAAGTTCCGAAAATATGAAGAACTAGCTGGGAAGCCCGGCTTCGCCTTCAGGTTGCTAAGGGTCTAACAGC